TTCGTCCGATCTTTCCGATTCGTGGTTTATATTGCTTCAAATCGACATCGGAGGTAGCTGCACTTGCTTTCACGAGAATCGTGCAAATTGAAGTTATTCTGCCTTAGTGCGATACCAACCTGGAGGTGATGCCTTTTTTCAAATTCGTCCGATCTTTCCGATTCGTGGTTTATATTGCTTCAAATCGTCATCGGAGGCAGATGCACTTGGTATCTTGAGAGTCGTGCCAATAGGAATTATTCTGCCTTAGCGCGATACCCACCTGCAGGTGATGGCTTTTTGAAATTCGTCCGATCTTTCCGATTCCTGGTTTATATTGCTTCAAATCGACATCGGAGGTAGCTGCACTTGCTTTCACGAGAATCGTGCAAATTGAAGTTATTCTGCCTTAGTGCGATACCCACCTGCAGGTGATGCCTTTTTCCAATTCGTCCGATCTGTACAATGCCTACTTTGTGATGCTTCAAATCGACATCGGAGGTAGCTGCACTTGCTTTCACGAGAATCGCACAATTGGAAAGAATTTTGTACTTTTGCTATACCCACCTGCAGGTGATGCCTTTTTAAAATTCGTCCGATCTGTACAATGCCTACTTTAGGATACTTCAAATCGACATCGGAGGTAGATGCACTTGGTATCTTGAGAATCGTGCAAATATAAATTAATCTGCCTTAGTGCGATACCCACCTGCAGGTGATGCCTTTTTCAAATTCGTCCGATCTGTACAATGCCTACTTTGTGATGCTTCAAATCGACATCGGAGGTAGCTGCACTTGCTTTCACGAGAATCGCACATTTGGAGAGGATTTTGTACTTTTGCTACTGTATACCCACCTGCAGGTGATGCCTTTTTCAAATTAGTACGATATTTCCGATTCGTGGTTTATATCGCTTCAAATCGACATCGGAGGCAGATGCACTTACTTTCATGAGAATCGTGCAAATTGAAGTTATTCTGCCTTAGTGCGATACCCACCTGCAGGTGTTGCCTTTTTCAAATTCGTCCGATCTTTCCGATTCGTGGTTTATATTGCTTCAAATCGACATCGGAGGTAGCTGCACTTGGTTTCACGCGAATCGCACAATTGGAAAATATTTTGTACTTTTGCTATACCCACCTGCAGGAAATGCCTTTTTTCAAATTCGTCCGATCTTTCCGATTCGTGGTTTATATTGCTTCAAATCGTTATCGGAGGTAGCTGCACTTGGTTTCACGAGAATCGCACAATTGAAAAATATTTTGTGCTTTTGCTATACCCACCTGCAGGTGATGCCTTTTTCAAATTCGTCCGATCTGTACAATGCCTACTTTGTGATGCTTGAAATCGACATCGGAGGTAGCTGCACTTGCTTTCATGAGAATCGCACAATTGGAAAGTATTTTGTACTTTTGCTCTACCCACCTGCAGGTGAAGCCTTTTTTAAGTTAGTTCGATCTTTCAGTTTCGTGGTTTATATTGCTTCAAATCGACATCGGAGGTAGCTGCACTTGCTTTCACGAGAATCGCACAATTGGAAAGTATTTTGTACTTTTGCTATACCCACCTGCAGGTGAGGGCATTTTAAAATTCATCCGGTGTTTCCAATTCGTGGTTTATATTGCTTCCAATCGGCATCGGAGGCAGATGCACTTTCATGAGAATCGTGCAATTGGAAAGTATTTTGTACTTTTGCTATTCCCACCTGCAGCGGATGCCTTTTTTAAGTTCGTTCGATCTTTCAGTTTCGTGGTTTATATTGCTTCAAATCGACATCGGAGGTAGCTGCACTTGCTTTCACGAGAATCGCACATTTGGAGAGGATTTTGTACTTTTGCTACTGTATACCCACCTGCAGATGATGCCTTCTTTAAATTCGTCCGATCTTTACAATGCCTACTTTATGATGCTTCTAATTGACATCGGAGGTAGCCGCACTTTCTTTCACGAGAATCGCACCATTGGAAAGTATTTTGTACTTTTGCTATACCCACCTGCAGGTGATGCCTTTTTCAAATTAGTACGATCTTTCCGTTTCGTGGTTTATATTGCTTCAAATCGGCATCGGAGGCAGATGCACTTGCTTTCATGAGAATCCTGCAAATATAAATTATTCTGCCTTAGTGCGATTCCCACCTGCAGGTGATGCCTTTTTCCAATTCGTCCGATCTGTACAATGCCAACTTGTGATGCTTCAAATCGACATCGGAGGTAGATGCTCTTTCTTTCACGAGAATCGCACATTTGGAGAGGATTTTGTACTTTTGCTACAGGGTGACCAGAAAGTCCTGTCCATCAGCATTTTTGCTGCAGCTCTTTTAATATTTACCCCTGAACGACAAGTTAGCAACTGACGGAGCACAATAGTTTTAGGAACATAACATAATTACCCAGATTCAAGATGACCACCCTTTGCGTCTCTACGAGCCTTCAGACGGCGCGGGAAGTCATCGACGATTTCACACAGCTGATTTTCGGTGATCTCATTGCACGCTTTCAGAATAGATGCTTTCAGCGAGTCCAGATTTGCATGTCGTGTAGCACAGACCTTCCTCTCCATTATACCCCAAATTGCGTATTCCAGCGGATTTAGATCAGGCGAATTCGAAGGGCAAACGTCTTCATCCCAAAACGCAGGAAACAGCTGTCTGCAAAGGGCTTTCGTGGACTTCGCTCTGTGTGATGGTGTGCAGTCCTGCTGAAGTGTCCACTGGGCTTCTCCGAAATGAGAGTCCGCCCATGGCTTCAGCACATCCCGAAGGATGCGTTCCTCGTAGAATTTGGCATCGATTTTGGCTCCTTTCTCGACGAAGACGAGAGGCGTCTTTCCATTTGTGGTGACTCCACCCCATACCATCACAGAAGCTGTGAACTTCTGCCGTGTGACAAAAGCTGCTTCTGGACGCTCCTTCGAGTTCTTTGGCAACAGAATCCGGTCATTTTGGACATTGAGCATCTGTTCTAGGGTAAAGACCTTTTCGTCTGTGAAGACAACATGACGATGTCGAAGAGCACCAGTCAGCCGCTTCAGCTTCTTCACTTTTGCAAGTCGATTGTTCATCATGGCCTCCGTTAAGTGATGACACTTTCGCAGCTTGTAAGGGTGACATCCAAGAACCTTCTTGCACATTGTCGAAGAGCACCGGTCAGCCGCTTCAGCTTCTTCACTTTTGCAAGTCGATTGTTCATCATGGCCTCCGTTAAGTGATGACACTTTCGCAGCTTGTAAGGGTGACATCCAAGAACCTTCTTGCACAGAATTCTGGCCGATTCTCGCTTCCAACCGGTGCTGCGGGCCAATTCCCGCATAGACTGCCTTGGTTCTCGCTGAATTCTTATTTTAGCTTCCTCCGGTTTTCAGGGGTGTTGGCGGTTCGCGGCCTTCCACTTCTTGGACGGTCTCTTTCATGCCCCAACTCCTCGTAACGGTTAATGGCCCAGATCACGGTTCCTCTGCACGCACCAAGCGTATTTGCGATATTGGTTGCACTCTTTTTTGTCTCGTGCAAACGGATGATGGCAGTACGCGTTTTCTTATCCATCAAAAAATACAAAAGAATGACGCTATGGAAATGAAACTTTTCACACACATAGACAATAATGTTAGGGAACAAAACTGCATGAAAAGATTGCTAGGGCCTTTGTATTTATATAGTTAAAAATATGGGACAAAAATGGACAGGACTTTCTGGTCACCCTGTATATGAAGTCACATATTAGCAAAACCATAACCTCTTTTCATGGCTTAATCTAATTCTTGCTGATTCTCAATAAGTTTATCTGCAATGGTGCTCACCACCATTTACTTATCATTTCCATTGAGTAAGCATTAGTTTAGTTTCAGAGGGAAGAATACAGCAATCTCAATGGAATTTTGACTGACTGATAGCCCTTTAACATTTATGCCCCAAATTAAGAATAAAATAGGATAAAACATTCACCAAAAAGCTTATTTATAGTCAATTAAGGCAAAATGTACCAGCATGCTTCTTCTGTGGAAGACATTGCACACTCATTGTAACAACAAAAAAGCAACACCATGAAGGAGTTGAGCAAAAATGATGAAATTAGGTGCATAAGCTCATAACAATATCTTATGAAATTGATGAGAGCTTCAAAAGCCAAAGATGAATATTCTCAGAGAAACTGGCCAAACACTCCAATTTAAAGGGCTGAAGGATAATAGTAAGGATAAAGGGGGATAATACTAAACCAAAACAAACACCCAGGAGTTTATTAATGAAGCACGGAACAGGAACTTTTGATGTATTGAAAAATCTAGGGAAGTTTAAAGGTCTGAGGATGAGGTCATGCAGTGAAACCTTACATGCCCAAGGAATGGGGGAAGAGAGCAATATCACTGATAACCAGCTTCCTTACCTTTTATCACAACATGGATTGCTATTATGCTATTGTTGAGCATTCAAATGCAACACCATGCTGAGATGAGGTCTGCAAGGGTGATTTCACAGTTTAATTGCTCAATTGGTGTAGTTTAATTAGGATGCATAGCATTAATCAGTTTGATGCATCATGCTGTGGTATCAGGATAGTTTCATGAGCTTTCTCTTTGAATATTATCATAGCCCTTGAAACTCTCATGGAATTTATTAAACATCTTCAACAAGCTTGTGTACCAAATTTCACCAAAATCATTCAACTTCTTTTTTGATATTGCCTTTTTTTCATTGGCAATTAGTGTATTAGAAATAGTAATATTGAAAAAATAGTCAATCAGATATCTTCAATAATAATGACTGTAACAAGGCCAATCCACAAGGTACACTTATTAGCCAATAGGCCCACTTCTCCAAATTTGCAGACTGAGAGTGCTTGCTCCCTTCCACACTTTTATTTCACCAGCCCTGCAGTTGCAGGTTGGGACTCAAAAGTGCTGGGAGCAGGTGGGAGTTGGGAATTCTTGATAAAAATAGAACCACTAACAGAAATGGGATCAGGGAAAGCCACATATCACTCACCATACAATCCCAAGTTCTTAGCAAAAGACTGTGCAAGAGCAATTTTGTGACCCTCCTTCAGGAACAAGCGGACTGCTTGAGCATCACGGTCGATGTCCCCAGTGGCAAAGCCTTGATATGCCATATCAAAGAATGGGAACAATTTCCTGTCTTTAATGACTTTTGAAAGTTCAGCCCACTGATCTGGCTTTGGATCCACTCCAGTTGGATTGTGAGCACATGCATGAAGCAAGATAATGGACTTCTCAGGAATTTTCTGAAAGAAAACAAACCAATTGCTGAGGGATTCTAAGAAATCCCTCATCATGGGAAATGAAACTTACAGCAATATCTTCCAGAGCTCCTTTGAAGTCAAAACCACAGGTGTTGGCATCATAGTACCGATACTGTTTTGTGGGCACCCCAGAATGCTTGAATATAGGTGCATGGTTCCCCCACGATGGAGTGGGCAAATATACTTCCTTGTTCCCAGGAAAGAATTTTTCCAAGAAAGCAGCACCTATCCTCAGGGAGCCTGTACCAGATATGCCTTGAGCAGTAGCATTCTGCAAAGAAACCAAGTAAAATCATCATATATGTATATTTATTGCAAATTCCTTCTTTGTAATGCATTATTATCCATCCTGAATTTTTCATTATAAATTATGAAAAACAAGCAACAGGCAATAATTTTACATCAAGCCAAGTTCAACTGTGTGAGGTCACCAGCACTTACCAGTCCCTCCTGAACCCATGCATTTCCTTCTCCAAGGGCTAGGTTGCATGCAGCCTTACAGAATTCTGGAATTCCATGAATTGCTGCATATTCCTTGTCTAAGTTCTTGGATGCAAGAAGCTCTTCTGCCTGAAACAAGGATGGCAAAAACTGAACGAGAGTACCTTCATTTCATAATATCTTACCATCAAAAGCATGAGTATATCAACATAGCATGAGTATCAACACATCTTTGACTTACAATAAACAAGCTTCTGCATTATTTTTATAAAGGTCTCAAATTCAAGAAATTTCTAAAGTGGCTCTTATCTTATTCCAAACCTACCTTCTTCACACTTGGTAGCACGTATGGCTTTCCATTGTCATCCCTATAAGCCCCAACCCCCAGATTGATTTTCTTTGGGTTCTGGTCCTTCTTGAATGCTTCAGTTACTCCAATGATGGGATCTGGGGGGCCCATCTCCACATTGCTCCACCAGGAACTGTAATAGGATAAATGTGCACCCCAAAATAACTGAGGTTCATTCTTTCATAAATTGCCATCTAAAATCAGGCTGGTTCCATGGGTGAACAAGTTAAGTGTTCACCATGGATGGAAAATTAGGTCACATTAGTGAAAATTTGGTCTAAAAGTCTATGAGCAACTCATAAGCACATTCATGAGAGAAAGAACCAGCAAGAACAAGAAAGCATCTCTTAAATATATTATGCATATAGATTCCCTACGTTTAACCCTTTGTGATCCACTGTTGGGCATAGTCCTACATTCTCTATAGTGTTACAAATAAAATGGACTGCAAAGGGTTAATGTCTCTTTGGCAATGAGGCTGGGCCACATGATACATTTTAATATATCATCTTCCCTAGGCAACTCATTCCTTTACTCCTTCTGAAAACTAGAAGCACTCCAGCTATTTTAACCAGAAGAGAGGTGGAGGAATGATCTGTAGTTCATGTAGAATGTTGACAGAATCAGGAACCCCTGCATATAATTGCAACAAAAGAGAGAAGGAAACTGTGTGCTACCTCACAACACAAACACTTGGGCTTATGGACCTTAGGTTAGAATACACTTCATGAAGCAATGCTCATGACATTACTTTTAGGAGTTTGCTCATTTGATAGTGTTAAGCAAAGGAGACCAAACAATGGAAATGTCACTTTACATGAGAAAAAAGGGTTCAAGCAAAAGGCAAAGAATTTCTGATGGCTTTCCATGACAATGACATGTCATCAGAAACCTACATGTATTCTTTTTGCAATATCTATTCTTTCAACAACTGGTACCAGTAGCCTTTTAACCCTTTAACTGTTTTTGACAGCACACATATTGTTCCCAAGTGCACTTTGTTTATGACATAATACAGGGCAAATATAAAGTCTGGAAAACATGGGAAATAAAAGTACAAGCAAAGCATATACTAGTATATAAAAGAAAGAAGGTATTCCTTCATCTTGTGCACACTGTCAAATCCTGTGAATACTGCACATAAACCTTAACTTTGTCATTTGCACACTATTTCCCAATGAAGACTGAATTTCCACTCCTATGTTCAACGCAGAACGCAATGCCTGACATGACAGCAAGCAGGATGAATATCCAGTAAGCCTTGTTGCCATGCATAGAAGAGACACGATTGCCTTTTCCCTTCAGATATCAAATTCCCTTTCAGATATCAAATGCGATTCTGAGTTTAAATTCAGTTTCCACAATTTTATTATATTTTTCATTTCTTTTGTTTGCATTGCTTCACATCTTTGTTGAGCATCTCTTCTGATTTGATAATGCCTTCTTGTATTCAGAGACATTAGAAAGACATGTCATGAGAACTTCAACCCCCCCCCAAACTTTAGGGCTGGTTGCACCACTAGGTCTAGGCTTCAACTAAAGGAAAGATCTCTTGGGCTTTTGTCAAAGATACAGAAGGAATGCATGGCATGAATAGGCCCCCATTGCTTAATTGGAGTCTATGTTTTCTACTTCTAAGTTCAATATCATTATTGATGCCATTCAACTGGTTTTGTCAGGGGGTGTACAGCTGGCCTAGAGCACCAACAGCTAATTCAAGAGTGAGCTCATTGATTAAGGCCCAGGTACTGATTTTTTTAGAGCAATATTCACATGAGGTGTTGAGTACTTGACAAAATAGATCAATTGTCATTGACAAATAATATTTTTCTGGAGGATTACATGTGGGCACATCATTTACAAAATGGCAAAGGAAGTCTAAAGGGCCCCAGGGAATCCCACAGCTAATATTAAAGGGCTATGGGAAGTTCACAAGATCTGCAATGCTTTCCACCCAAATAAGACAATTTTTCACTTGACTCGGACACTCATACATGAGGAACATTTCATGCACAGATGTCCAAGTCAAGTGAAAATTGTCACTCAAGTAAAAAAAAATACTATCAGAATATTGAGCAGTGCAGAGCGATTTGACAAATGGAGGACAACAATTGATGACAAAAAATGTCGATTAATTACGCTTAACGTTAGACGCTGAGGCTACGGCCTTCGAGCAGGCCTACCAGAACGTTGCCAGCTAGTGTTGGGTCGGCCCCTCCTTATATGATAACTTAGTTTGCCGTGAAAGAGAAGTCACCTCAACCGAATCGACCCACCTCGCCCTGGAAAGGACTTTGAGAGGAGCAGGGTTCCTGACATTTTGTCGGACCAAGATTGGAAGCATTTGAGTAATATGAATCACTTTCGGAGGGATCCAGATCAGTTTGCGTCCGGGATTAGCTCTAATGATCTTGACTCGATCAAACCAAGATCTGTTTCGAGACTGACTCCGGAGCGCCTGACACAGATTGGATGGGGGTCACTGCCGCGACCTAAGTGCAGCGCCCTTACTGAGTGTGTCTTCCCGGGGATGCCAGATCAGTTTCGATCCCATTTAAATGCTTAATCGCTGTACTCCAGCATGATTGTTTTCGAGTAGAATTGCTATTTTAGTGCTATTTAGATAGTAAAAATGTTATTAGTAATATCGGTGCATCTGTCCTTAAGATAGAATGTATATGTATACGGGCTTGAAAGGTGACTACCTTAGTTCACGTGACTGCAGCCCCACAGCTTATTCAAATTGGCGACCGGTTCTTTCTAGTCGTTCACTGAGGGCGCATCTTTTTGATCTGGTGGGAGATATCGAAGCAATCCAGAAGCGGCGATACACAAGCGTACACACCCCAGGAGAGCAGTGCATGTCAGGAAAAAGCTCATTTTCTGGAAGTAAATGACAGCGAAGTTAATGCTAATTCTCGTAACCCCATGAACAGTGGCGTAGCCAGAGTTTCCCTTAAAAGGAGGGGGGGGGGGGGGGGGGGGGGGGGGGGGGGGGGGGGTGGGTGGGGGGGGGGGGGGGGGGGGGGGGGGGGGTTGGGGTTAGGAGGAACAGAGGGGTGTCTTGTAATTTCTCCTCCTCTGAGGGGGGTGCAGTCGTATTAAGACCCAAATTGGGGATAGCACCAAAACATGGGGGGGACTTCAGCCTCTCTACGCCACCTCGTTTATCATCTTGTTTAAGGAAAACATGAGGGGACTGCCTCGTGTTATTTTTAAAGACTGGGTCACATTTTCAGGATTGCTGCTTTGGCACTTTCATGAATTTCCACCAAGCCTCTAATTTAATTCAGGAGAAAGAATTTATTCATTATCAAAATCTGTTTATGTTTTGGGATTGAAGAGGGGAAACGTTTTTCTTAGTTCTGCTTTGCTCAAGGGCCAAATTGATGTAATAGGACATGGTAGGCATCGTCGATGGAGAATCAATTATTCTGGAGTGATAGGAGGCATTGTCCGTCTGTCTTCTGGGTCATTCCACGTCCAATCAGCACAAAAAAGGGAGAGAGATTTGACCTGACCCCTCCGATTTTTGTGGATTTTTGTGGATTTGTAGGGTTCATTCTTCTTCTTCTTCTTCGGTCAAATGCTTTTTGTAGTACTGCGATTTGAATTTTGCTAAATGTGCCGATTTCTGGTCCGATGGTCATCGGTATCGTCCTGGTACTCACACCTTTGCCTTGTCAGACTTCTCATGATCGACTTCGGATCCTGCCAACCTTACCACAGAATGTTTGCACCAAGTTTCTCCATATTTAAGAACTAGTATTCGAGAATGCCCCAGATTAGCTGCAGTATTCCCGGTGGGTCATGGGGTTTTCAAGAATTCTTCTTGAGCGATATTTAACATTTGCAGAGACGCACTTGTTTAACCCTTTCAGGCTGGCGGGACCATGGAGTTCGGCTTTTTTTTCTCATTTTTTGTATAGCTATACAGGAATGCTCGACCTTGAGGGGCTTTTGAGTCCCTGTGACCTTTTTAAATTGTATTTTTGTGGTCAATGGCTTTTTATTGTGGACGGTTGAATGAGGAATTTGTTTTTACGTCAATATATTTTTAAATTCGGGTCTTAAAGGGTTGAACGTAGTTTTCCATGATTCCTTCTCGAACATGGAAATGGTAAGTATCATTGGGCCACTATTATTTACTCTGATGTGAGAAAAGACACCAGGAGCTTATCTAGTGGCGAAGGGAACTTCACCTTCACAATAATAATACTGGAATAACATTGTCAATAATACTGAAATAAGATTTTTCACCCTGTAAACGATTGTTCACAGGGTGAACATTTTTATTCCAGTATTTTTAGCGCAATCTTGGGCGCACATCGTTCAATTATTGAACCTTTTGGACTCTCCCAATAGTGCATTGCTTGTCAGGACAAAAATTTGATCTTTATCGCAATTTTATATTCTACTCCAATACAGCCCCAATTATTTGGTCCAACATTGAGCACAGTACCAATTTCAAGCTGAAGCCAATAAAACAATAAGGGATCATGATGGGGCAAATATTGTATCATACCGAGGTAGTAACACTCTTTTGTGAGTTATTTCATAAGCTTCTTATTCTTATACCTCGAGTATAGTTTTGATGAAGGACCTACCTACACTTCAAGTCGAGAAGTACACATGATTTATTTTATAGTTAAGACGGAAACTGAATTATCAATTCCAGAGGGAATTGGCCAGGAAAGGGCCAGAAATTCCATTCATCACGGATAATTGGGGTTCATTCTGCACAGGGTATGGCAGTTTCTATAAATACCATGTTTCTCCTTTTGCTGCGAAGATCACTCTCTATCTCTTGATAGCTGTTATAAGTTATAATTGCAGAAAGATAACCTAGATGGCAGACGTGGCAAACGCGTCGCTCATAAAGGCATTGGGGGTGCTGACAGTCACCCTTCTTCCTTAGGGAGTTGGAGCCCATGTACTCTTCATGGGCTACTGACAATTTTTCTGGACGTGTGATTCGGGACTGTGCGAAATTGACGTGGCTTGATCTGATTCTGTGTTTTCTGTGCTGCAGTACATAAATTGGACGCTTTGCATTTTCGAGACTGCATGAATTTCGACTCCTTTTGACATTATGTCTCATGTGATTTGGTAGTACGAGATTCTGTCCTACGTGATCGAGAGCAAATCACTGTCGATTCAGTGATATTTTTGCTGCGTTTTCGACCATGCGTGTTTTTGATGCAACGTGTTTTGACGTCACGTGATTTGATATTTCAAGACCTCTGTTCAAGGACTCCGAATTCATACGGTCATGATAATCAACCGACCCATCACTTGGACTCTCGTATCACAAATACTCCTACAAGGCACTTCGAGCAAATCTCCCTTTTCCCGCATCTTGGTTGTTCAATCCCCCCTCCATCCCAACCGGTGGATGAAGTAACATGAAGGACATCCACCAGAAAAGTGCTTTTTAGTTACAGTGTTGATATGAAATCATGTCTCATCAAACTACACGATGTTCATTCCTTCTTCTCGATCATTTTTCTTTTCTTGCACATATCGTTTCCATGGGCTGACAATTCTTCCACTTTCAACCACTTCTAATAGGACATTGAAAACTTGCACTGTGGATTCCAGGACGTCCTCCAGTAATTTGAAAAGGGGCATAATATATTGAAAGGGCAATGACGCAATCAAAGGGATGGAGGAGAGAAGGAAAATTCCATTGAGATGGGAGAGGCGGCTGGGCTGTATGGAGCACCTTTCCAAAGGGAAGAGGCTTAATTATTATTGTTTTAAATAGCCGGAAGTGACTAACTTGAATATCTGAGTAAGGAAAAATTGTGATTCAGCTCGACTCCGTCCTGGTAGACTTCGGCATTCATAAGAGGTAGCGACCATTTGCGTACTACCTGCTCCCAAATGCTCTCTCAGGTGTTCGCCTGCGTCCCTTTATTGCTCCCCATAAGCTAATGTGGACACTTTCTCGAGAAGTCTTACGGGTACATGCGTGCTCTTATTGTCCTCAAATTTCACGACACCTTTCAAGGATTCAATGCAAGACGTCATTACAGGTATCATATAAATATAGTGAAAAAGCGTCACTCTAGATGGCACTGTGCCGCATACGACGTATGATCCCGTCAGTTTCACGTTGGTATCCACCTGGTCAAAATGCCTGCTCAGCATCCTCATCACTCTATGTTTATGCTATATACGATATCGTGGTGCCATCCGAAGAACATGAGACTTTCTAACCCCAACCTTATCTGTCAGGTGCTTCTATCTATCCAAATGGGTAAGTAGAACTCGAGAACGATCTTGAATAGGGCTTTGCGTTACTGCGGCATTTTTACATCTTGGTTCCGAAACCGAAGCTTAATCAGTGCGTGCAGTGGTACCGAAGGTGTGAAACATGTTTTCGAACTCGAGAGTGTCTCGGCTGCTTACCCCCTCGACGTTGACCTGGTTTAGGGGAGATGGGGGAAAGGTGGGGGGGGGCTGCCTTTTCCTTCGGCCTCGTCCATTCGTTCCCTTTCCTCGGTCTAGGAGAGGGAGTCTGTATAATCGGAAGACCGTGGAACAGGATGACCGTCACACCGGATTTTCTGTAAAGCAGTTCTAATTTTAACGTGTACCGCACAGCCCTTCTCTTGAACAAGTGTTGGACATTTACTGTTCTGTTAGTGCGTCCTCGAGAATCTGTTTCTATATATGCCTCATGAATCTATTCAATCCCAGTATGCAAAGTATGATTTATCATTATAGTTAATGCACGTTTTTCCCTCAACAAGTTAAGTACTTCAATCTAAGAGCACTTGCGTTCAGAACTGGCAGAATTTGGCCGATAAAGCTAACATTGCAAAAATCAAAATTAGGATAATTTAATTTTGACGTTCACGGGCAGAGTGAGATTCATATGCGTTGACAGGAGTATTGAGAGATCACAGAGCTATCGAGGGATTCAATCTGTAAAAGTCGTACATGTTTGGTCGATGCTGAGTGAGTCCCATCCTTGATGGGGAGACCCGTCGCAAGTCTTCTCTCATCACGTCTATGACGGGGAGAGCCCTTTTATCTTCCTTCATTGATGTGTCTATTCCCACTAATGATCTTCCTATCAGATCCAATCAGGGCAGACCGCATCCCAATCAGTTGTCTAGTTACGGGCCGCATTCTAGCACTTCTGTAAGGTATGCATCTTACACTGATCTGCGCATACTTCTCAAGACGTCTCAGCATTACAATTGAGTTCTTTCACGTTTCTATTAAAATTTCATGCTCAGCCTCCTGTTCAAGTCCACAATCAGAGACCCTTCACTTATAGTACCTATGTACTCGCATTCACGGACAGACCTAGGAGCAATAGTCCGAAATCGGTGCAAACTGCACGCACCAACCACTTTCCTGTCGATACATTTTCTCTCGCAAATATAAGATTCGAGTTGCTTTTCGTAAAATTGCTCGTGTGGCAAAACGGCTGGAAAGAAACAGGCAAGAATTTTGGGACGTTTTGAGGATAGAGAGACGTAATTACCAAAGAAAATCACATGGTGTTACCTGCTGCCTCATAAATATAATAGAAATGTGAAGTATTTTGCTTTTCTTTTGCTTCACCCGCAATAGAAAAAAGGATATTCCTATTAATTACGTCATTGCGTAACAGTTTTGTATGTGTTGTGCGTGAATCATGCAACTGCTCTTTTTTTCTACTTTTTGTCGAAATAGCTAAAAAAAAATTCCCATGTTCACATATTTCAGGAAATCGGCAGAAACGTTGTCCATTGCGAGCATTCTCCCTCATTTTTTCACGCAATAAGCAAAGAGAGTTTAAGCAGGACTTTTTCAAATCAATACGTTCTCGTGTAGTCAGTCATTTATTTAGTCAGCCCAGCCTTACGGCCACCAAACACGATCCGATTTTCACGGAATATCTGGTCGCGTGCGGTGGAATCCGATGGTACTCCGTCTGAAATGGGAGAATGCCGTGCATTTCCTGTATTTTCCCATCCTCCGGCCGTTCGACGCGTCGGATGAAAATCGGAGCGGGTGCGTATCCGATGTCGAACGTTGGGGGACTGATGGAAAAAAAAAGCACTTCATGGAGAAGCTGCTGCTCAGGAATATGCCAAATGCCATGGCTTTGTTCGAAACTGCATTGATTTCTATTTTACAATTTTTACGTAAGTTCAACAGTATTCACTTGACGTAGACCTCTCTAAGTCAGGAGGCTGACCTCATGCTAATCACCACCTTCACCCAGGGATTTTTTTGTTAATTAAAAACATGTCGGAATAGAACTACTGAACTCAACGGAAAACGATTTAGGTCTTCGCCAGTTTGATGCTTTGCACGATTCTTCCCGGAGACGAACTAGGAAAAGAGGGCCAAGGAAAGCTCCTCATTATCTTCCTCATCCATGACTGCAGGCAGCAACGTTAGGGAACTTCAGCAACTTCTGATTACTTCTCAGTGCCAGCCCGGTTAGAGCAGTCTGGCCGTGTGCGCGTGCCATGATCCGATCCGCTTCCAACGACTGATTTTCGGTTCAAGAGAAATTGGATCGTGTGCGGCGGATTTTAGGGTTTACTCTCATCTGGTTTAGGCTACTCAATATTCCTGTTCATTTTCTCAGTCTGTTTAGTTTTGTCTGGTATGCTACTCGATCGCAGTGAAATGGCTCTCTAGGAGTGCTGCGGTTACCATTAATACACTATGAGAAGCTAGCATTATTTCTAAAAAATTGTCTCATATTTTCATTGAAATGAAATAAACACGACTGTTGCGCAATGCCCAATTGCGCACAAGTCATGTATAACACATTTTGGAAGGATGCTAACAAATGGCAATGACAGCCTCTTCTAAACTCGAATTTACTTACTACTCAATATTGAATATTTAGGCTTCTCCCAATTGCAAAACATAATTTTTCTTTGTAGCATGTACATGTATGTGAAATGGACACGCAATTGCTTCCATCAACCAAATCACAATGAAATAGGGAAGTAAAAGCATTTGTCGCGGCATTTTTTTTTTTACTAAGAGGCTGTATGGGCTGCTCTATGGAGATAATTACTTCAAGTTCAATCACACTGGACCAATAGAACCTCCTTAACAAAGTTTTATTTCTCAAATTGTCGATTCGAAGGTAAAGAATTGCTGAGAAACTTATTATTCAGTCAGTTTAAGTAGTTTTGAACAGTTTGGTTTCTCCTGTCAAGGATGCTTGGTGGCATGGACCAAAGCGATTCACGAAGCTCAAGAGCCAAGTCATTTGATCGTTCGCATTAGTCGAAAGAAGGCCGTCTCCTGTTCGCCAGACAAAGGAAGCCTTCAGTCCGTTTCTGAAGCTGAAGTCCTTCGATGTCTAGAAAGGCGACTGGAAGAGATGGAGCGAGAGATGGAGGATTTTAAGAAGGAACTCAGTGCTCTGAAACGGATTTCGGCAGAAAAACATGGAGAAGCGATTGTGGCTGTTGGCGACCCTCCATCCCCATCTGTTCCAGGACGGGAGATGAAAGAGAGGATGAACGCCGGGACGGAGCCAGACCATCACATCGATGACGTGACAAATGCCACCTTCTATAACTGGATGACATCTACCGCTTCGACAAATGAAGGACCAACGGATTCTCAAACACCTTCCTTCTCTGGGTCAGAAAAAGCAGAAGACTTCTCGATCCCTCTCCTTCGTCCAGATGAAACAATCTCAGGGCATCCAATCACAGCCACTGCGCCAACAGTCATGACTGCGATACGCATGACTAAACCCACTAGCCAACCTGACGCTTCTACTGAGCCAAGTACAAATCCAATTCCAAACACTTCAATTCCGACTGAAGCTGAGCAATCCAGTAGCTCCACTCCAGCCTTGCTCAGAACCCCATTACATGAAACGATAAGGAGTGCTCAAAGCTCAAAGACAAAGGAGAAAACAGACGAGATCAATCCTATTGCAGAAGATGAAGCACCAATGTTGCCTCAAGAGGCGCGAGTCGCTTCAAGTGGCAGTATAGAGTCGCAAAAAGGTGACGAACAGAAGTGTTCCAGATTTCTTGGAAAAACTCTTCTGATCCCGAGCACTTACGAGAAGGAGTCTGGAAGGCCATATTCGGAATACTCGTGGAAGATCGCAAATTTCTGTAATATTGTGCGCTATTACTCTCCTGATAAAATGCTCAAGAGCGACATGATCTATATGGGCATCCAAGGATACAGAATGTATCTCGTGACTTTTCCGGCTGGCTTCGGAGGCAAAGGGAATTTCTTCACCCACGTAAACCTGGCTGCGGGGATGGTCTCTGGCTCTTACGACGAGCACCTGCAATGGCCTTTCAAGCACAACATTCGTCTCACCGTCTGTGTTCCGTGGATCACATCTTGCATTTCCTTCCTCGTCAATGCAAAGGAACCCGCGGCTTGCGGAGATGTATTCCAGAAGCCGAAGCATGACACCTTCAACGACCCGTGTGGATTCATTCTTCCTGTCAAGACAAGATATGGAGTGGGAAACTGTACTGGCTTGGAAGAGGCATATTTCCAAGCCAGAGTTTATCTAGATTAGCGAGGATTCATTCAGCGTATTTACAGGAAAAAAGAATCAAATCGTGTTTGTTCCAGAAAATGTTTGCATTTGTCCTGAATGGGCCTCATTATCGATTTAAACGTGTATCAAGACTGTCCAAACTTTTGGGTCATTGGGGAGGCACGGCCTGTGGGTCTCGGGTCCGCGGGCCGCAAAATCGAAAAGCTCATTGCATTGTGTACTTGGCCAAGGCCAGTACTGATGTGGAAGGGGAAGAGGAAGTGGAAGGAGGGGGGTGACGAGCGAAGGGGCAAGGGAAAATACAGGGTGTCACGAAACCTTACCTACCGCCTCATTGGCAGAACTATGCGACGGTGCAGAAAAACAGGATTTATTGATGAATAATGTATTAGTTAATTAATTTAATACCTAAATTTCCATGTCGTCTCCATGTCCACTACCGGTCTGGATGACGACTTGAAGGAAAGATGCGACAAATTCAGGAAGAGATCGGCGTCAAAATTAAAATTTTGAAGAAAATGTTTGAAGAAAATCCTCCGTGAGCTTCCTGAGCAGCGCTTTTCTCGTGATCGCCTTTTGAAACAATGCTTAAAAATTCTCCAAAATCTTAAGTATAACATCGATCTCTTTCTGAATTCATTGCAGTCCCCTCGCCTTCAAGTCGTTATCTAGGCCGGTAGTGGGCGCACACAATGGTGAGATTTTGGACATATATTTAGATATCAATACTTTATTATTAAATAAAACCAGTTTTACTGGTTCACAGTTAATGAAGAAGAAGAAGAAGGGAATAAGGTTTTGTGACACCCGCTATGTCTGGGCACTAATAGGGGGGCACTCCCTCCCTATATTCACCATTGTCTTTTTCCCTTTGTCTTTCCTCTCATCTCCAATACTTTTTTTCTTTCCCCAAAGCTCCTATCGGGTTGCACAGAAGCATTCCGTGGACCGCACTTTGGGTATCTCTGCTCTATATCTAATCATATTTTCAGTTGCTTATTTCTCTTCAGTAGGCGTTTTCCTGAGCCGGAAAGCGTTCTTGCTGATCTGCGGCATACGACTCCTGAAAGTAGATGGTTCACGGATATACATCAGGTCATCATGAACTCTAGTCGAACTGCTCTTTCATTGACTCCTTGTTTGTTACACCTTCGAGAGTACTTAATGGAATGGACACTATGATCTCGTTATTTCTACTTTCCAAGTGTACTCCTTTGTTCGCCCTTGAGTGAGCGAAGGAATGAGGACCTGTGGAGCACTTCGAACATGCGCACAATGGAGTGCGTCCCTCCTCAGCTCACCAGGGAGGTCAACGCGAGAGGAGTGGGGTACCAGAAAATCAGCATATTGTAGCATGCAAGAATTTCGTCAGAAAAACATACATTTCATAAATTCAGCAGTAGAGATATGTCACATGCCATGGCCTACATTTTTTTAGTCGAAAATATTTCCTCATCTGCAACTATCAAAGAGTAAATAGAAGAAAAAAAATTATACGGGATTTAGCGATAAATGTACGCCGTGAAAAAGGCTCTGAGACCTGCCGGTTATTGCTATCACATAGTTCCTGAGATTCTGCTATAAATGAGTCTACTATTTATTTTTCGACGGTTCTGTTTTCTTCCTCATTCGACTCATCGAAACATCGATACTTTCGTTCGTATGGATAAGGGAGCGAAATCACTTTCCCAAACCTTGTCAGATAGCAAAATATTTTCTTGATGACGATTATGACCAGCTCTTGGAAGTTCAATCATTAGTTGCGTGACGCTAATAAATTCAGCAAGGATGTGAGTCAGGTTTTCGTTTCATAGATTAAATTTAAATGTGAATTTCAACAAGCTCCGCTTTGGTCGAAAGTTGCGATGAAATCTGAAGTGTTGCCGGGCGATCTCACATACTACCCAGGTAGCCAACCATGACTGGGCCAAGTAAGGTATATGCATGGCAAAATAACATGGGCCCAATGTGGCAGCCAGACATGGGCCATACGAGAAATGTCACAATGGTCGAGCCTCGGCCATATCCCTGGGCCTAGTAAGATGCAATACTTGGGCCGAATCTGGCCCATTAGAAAGTACATTCCTAGTGCCAAGTGTGGCAGCCAGATTTGGGCCTTACAAAAAAATGTCACAATGGTCGAGCTGGCCATATCCCTGGCCCTAGTAAGATGCAATACTTGGGCCGAATCTGGCCCATTAGAAAGTACATTCCTAGTGCCAAGTGTGGCAGCCAGATTTGGGCCTTACAAAAAAATGTCACAATGGTCGAGCCTCGGCCATACCTCTGGACCTATTCAGGACCCAACTTTTTGGCCAAATATGACCCATTAGGTCAGGAAATAACAAGGTTGCCACCCAAGCAGCATTTCAAATTTCATGTGATATAAAACCATTGTCATCTTTTTGTGCAATAAATGTGAATTTGATTTTCACTTTCAACATCCATTACATAAAAGAAATGTTTACTCTTATGATATGAGACATACTGTATATAGAAGTCCCCATACTCTCTATAGCCATCGGCATTAAAAAAAGGGGTTCTCTTTTAAATATCATCTACACCACTTTGAAGAGTCTCTTGGAATTCATTGCCAGTATTTCGTCTGCTTTCCTTTGTGTGACTAATCAAAATCTGGGCTTTCGATTCAAATTAATGTAAGTTGAATGATATATAAAAATTCAAAACCACCAAACTAGGGAAACTGGGACTGAAGAGGATATATTTAACAAATCTGACCAACCACAGAAAAGCAACAAAATGCACTTTTACTTTACATTCTGATGCAGCACTTACAAAACAAATGAAATCAATACCATATATTAGTCCAAATACCAGAACCTTTGAAATATATGCATAGGAAAAGATATATGTATTTTGAACCAGGCATCAAAATTCGCCAATTTCATATAAAAATTATAACTTAAGAACAAGCAAAACATAAGAATTTCCCTCATATTAAACATAACTTGCAGCATTAGGACATCAGAGAAATCATGACCCTGGACCATTTCCCTGCCAAAAGCTTTTCCCTCACACAAAAAATGCAATTCTACTTCAGAACACACTGAAAAAAAATATTTGCAAAGCAGTGGTTTATGCTTTAAATGTTTAGTTCTCATTCACTACAGTTATGCATCACCACATTATCTTCCTGCAAGCATAATACTGAAACTGTAATTACTTGTTATTTTTTTCCATTTCATATCAAGTATCACCATGCATATAACAAGTCCCTTTCAGGAAAAATCACCTCCAGTGGTTTTTAATAACATGCAGTAGAGGTTTAAAAAATTTTTAAATCTCAGTTGTCCAGATCGATGTATCCTCAATCAAATTCCTCATTTTCAAAGGAAAATTTCCCCTTCTCATGATGTGGGGATGGGAATCCTCTCATTCCTATGTTGATAAATCCCATCAATCATGAATTCCATTTGTCTTCTGGACTTATTCTTCCCGCTGGTCCTCTGCTTGTCTTGCTGCTCTGGTCCTGCTGATGCAAAATTGTGAAATTAGCAAATAAGCAAAGAAATTATTAGGGAGCACTGAGAAAATAAAGTGTAATGAGAATAAATTATATTAAAAAGGATTGGATTTAGTTCAGAACTGGTTTAAAGTTTCTGTCTTTTCAATTATGATCCCTGTATATTTTCCTCCTCTTCTTCTATTCACCTGCCTTCTGGCAGCAAGCTTTGTATGTGTTTTCTTCCACAATTTTTTTCTTTTATTGGTTCACTTTGAACCTTTGCTGGGAATACTATGAGACATGCCATGCAAAATGAAAAAACTACATTTCCTTTTCAGAGATAGATGAGTTGGCATGTGCCTTGGTGTTAAGGGAAATCTAGAAGCCAACTTGGCTCCTTGATTTGAAACTAAATTGAAGACTCTGGGAGAGTCTACATTTGACTATTAGTCACTGTTTAAAATACACATTTTCTGACTTCATATTGTATTTCTGAGAAAAAGTATAACCCTAAACACTCAATGAGCACTAGACATGATCGCTTTCCATAAGATCTACAAGTCTCCAAGAGGCAGATGAACACACTGGAATATGGAAAAAACATAAATCAGTTGATATCAGTATCAATTCTTTTGAGCTGTTTCCATGCCATTTGATCATGATGCTGGCTTAGGTTGAGAAGAAATTGTTAACTACAGCACTTACTTGAGTGTAGTTCAGTCCAACAGATCTTTCTTCCCTTTTTCCTTGGGTCCTGTAATGTTGAACACCAGTAGAACCTCTTTCCAGAAGAAAGCATATATCACTTGTCATTATTCCAGCCAATTTCATTCTCCAGGGTCACCAAGAAAGTCCAAAAAAGTTGACAATTCTCTCAGAAACATTTTGAAGAGTTGAAGTCATTGTTGATATAACTGGCAAATAAACAGGCAAGCATCTACATCATCAGTACAAATGCACTTTTGACCTTTCACTTTTGCACTGAAGCCTGCAGAATCAAAAGTCAATCAAGAAAGTCCAAAAAAGTTGACAATTCTCTCAGAGACATTTTGAAGAGTTAAAGTAATCGTTGATATAACTGGCAAATAAACAGGCAAGCATCTACATCATCAGTACAAATGCACTTTTGACCTTTCACTTTTGCACTGAAGCCTGCAGAATCAAAAGTCAAGGCACCTTGGCTTTTTAGGACCTAGGGGAGATGAATCAGTAAAGTCTAAACAATGCTTCAAAATAATAAAAAAAATTCCAAATATAGCTGGGGTTATGATGCATGCAGGGCCGTTTCTAGGGGCGGGCTAAGCGGGCGATCGTCCGGGGCGCCAGCGGGGTAAAGGGGGAGGGAGGTGGCGCCAGCAGGGTAAAGAGGGAGGGGGGGGGGGGGGGCCATTGGAACTGCTTGCCCTGGGGGCCAACATCCCCAGAAACGGCCCTGGATGCATGCCAGCTATACTTTTAAAGAAAGAGGCAGGCAGTTTTAAGATTATCTGCACCTTAAGCAACACATATGCATATTTGAGCAGATGTTGGCCTTCATATATCTAGATCCTAG